TTTTTTTTTTCGTTTTTTTTTTTTTTTTTTTTTTTTTTTTTTTGCTGAATATTTTGTTACAGTTTTTACTGGGTCGTTGGCTTTGGAATTATTCGCTTTAGGTGTTATTCGGTTTATATTCGGGAACTAACGGTATTCTCGGACATAGTATGGCTACTTGGATTGAGCTAACGCCAGCGTAGAAAAAAGAACTCTATGTCTCTTCTAAGTATAGAGTGTACACATAAAGCATAACATATATACACACATAAGAGATGATACACGTATGTATATGTCGGGAACATCCGGGTTGGGTAATTGAATTTCTATTCTCATGTCTTAGCCAAATACGATCTGCGGGCTCAACAATTGTCCGATTAAGCAGCGAGCCATGTCAACGGCCCATTCAGCTATATTTTTGCAAGTTCAACTATAAATATAACTAGACTATCAGCTGCGATATTCCTAGAGCTTGTTTGAGAACTTGCACGTCTGCCATAAAGACCAGCGGCATCTGGTGTAAACTTTGTAAATTGATATACGAATCAATTTGCATACACGTTTGGGCCAAAAATGAAAACGGGTATTACTAATGGCTGTTAGACGTGGGCCCCTAAAAATGGCAGCGATACGCGCCCTTTGCGCAGCGGACGTGGCTTACGCTCTAGACTCGGCTTAACTTTAAGCTGAATGCTGGAATCTGTTTGCACAGCATTTTGCTCGCTCGGCTAGCACATCGAGCCACAGCGGGAGCTGAGGCCAAAGCCGTCTGCTACGTGGAGCCATGCACAAGATCTAGCCGGAATGAGCGACAATGGGCGCTTGGGTCGCAGCTCCTCAATACATACATATATACAATGGCTGATGTGCGAATGTGTTGACACTGAGAAAAAAAAAAAAAAATATTCATACATATATACATACATACATACTATATACATATATAGATATTTATATTGCCAAGGGAAAAGCCTAATCGAGTGTGAAATGCAAACAACAGATTTATACCCTTCATAAAAATCAAGCCAATTTTTATTACAAATTATAAAATTTTGACTATGGCTAAAAAAAAAAAGAAAAAAAAAAAATAAAATAAAAATCACAGAAAATAAAATAAGAAAAACAAATTAAAAGTAATTGAAAAAATAAGTTCAGTAAAAATAAAGTAAATAAGAAAAGTAGCAATAGAAAGTTTTAAAGTTTCTAAAGCCTTTTAACATATTTAACATTAATTAAAAGTTATCAATCTTCATCAAGAACCTAAGATCGAGCCGTACACTCCAACAAAAAAGAAACTAAATATTAAATAAATAACAATTTTAATTGGGTTTCTCCATGCATATGGACAAACGGTGGGGCCTTTGCATAGGAATATTTTAAGAACTTTATCTTTTTTTTTTAATATTTACAATATATTTAAATTAGGAATAGCTTTAAAATAATAAACACTGAGTAAAATAGCTTAAATAAAATTAGAATTACAAAAATATTTAATTATTTACTTTTCTTATGATTCAGCAAATTATAAATAAAATATTTATTATTTTTATTACCTTGCAAATTTGTCTGAGAAAATTAGAAAAGATTATGCAGTAAATGTTTAAGAATTTTATGAGAATTTTAAATTGAAAATAGATTTTTTTTTTTTTTAATACATCAAATTAAAAACACAAAAATATAAGCATAAGATATATTTTACTAAATAGTTTACATATAAAACATTTTATAGTTTAAAATAAAAAATAAATAAAAAATAAAAATTTTTTTAAAGAAATATTTTTTATTCAGCATAACTTTAGTCTTGAGAAATTAAGCGAGGATTATGACAGTTCGACTCTGTTATATATAGATGTATACAAAGCGATCAACTGTTTCTTGCAGTGTAATGACATTTTGGGAATTACCTGCGCTTCTTGCGAATCGTTTTGACGGCTGACAGCAAACGCAAGTGTTATTTGCCCAGAGAGGTGAGAAAATATCTCAGTTTATGGTTAAGTAGTAGACTTGACAGACACACATCGAGGCGACAGGGCGACAGATCGCTGGATAGCTAGCCAAATATATACACACATACAAACACACACACACGCACACACACAAATGCATAGCTAGCTAAAAAAGCTAYCTGTACGGATGGATGGATGGCTGACTGTCTGGATAGTTGGACAATCGGCTGGCTGTTGGGACGCGCCTTAGTTTTTGGCATTGCGGTGTGGCCCATAAGTAACTATTTATGAATTAAGCAAACAGATTGATGAGCTCCAAAGTGTCGCTGCTGCTGCTGCTGCTGCTGCTGCTGTTGCTGTTGCTGCTGCTGTCGATCGGGTCCAGCTTAAAGCATAAGATTTGTATTATTAGAACCACAAACGCACACGCACACACAGACACACACACGGACACAAGGGACAGCGTCGCAGTCGACGCTGGCTGCTGCGTTGGCCTATAAATTTGTGCGTATCGGCATTTGGGAACATCAGTTGAGTTTTGTCTAGACCAGGCAGCGCACGCACTTATCCATATCCGTATCCAGTTCAGTTCAAAGAGATGAAGCTCTTCGTTTGCATTGTGGTTGCCGTGCTGGCGCTCGGTGCGCCCGCCCAGGCCTTCCTGGGCGCCAAGCTGGCCTTGCTGAAGGCCATTACCGGTGGTGGCAGCGGCGGCGGCGGCGGTGGTGGCGGTGGCTACGGCGGCGGCTATGGCAGTGGCGGCTACTCCGGCGGATACAACCAGGGCTACTATACACAGTCCAGCCGTCCAGTCTATAGCTCAGGCGGCGGTGGATATGGCGGCAGCTACGGCGGTGGTTATGGCGGCGGCTATGGCGGTGGCTACGGCGGTGGTTATGGCGGCGGCTATGGCGGTGGTGAACAAGTCATCAAGGTCATCAAAGTGATTGAGCAGCCTCAGAGCTATGCTCGTTCCAGTGGCGGCTATGGCGGTGGTTATGGCGGTGGCTATGGTGGTGGTTATGGCGGCGGCTATGGCGGTGGCTATGGCGGCGGCAGCAGCAGCAGCTATGCCTCTTCCAGCAGCTACGCAAGTGCCGCTCCCGTGCAGACCATCCAGACCAGCGCTGTGGCTCAGGCCGTGCCAGCCATAAGCTACTCCGCTCCCGCACCAGCGCCAGTGACCTATTCCGCTCCGGCACCACAGCCCGCTCCGATTACGTACTCAGTGCCCGCACCACAGCCCGCTCCGATTACGTACTCGGTGCCCGCACCACAGCCGGTGGTGCGCGTGCAGCCAGCACCAGTGACATACAGCGTGCCCGCACCACAGCCGGTGGTGCGCGTGCAGCCAGCTCCAGTCTCATATTCAGTGCCCGCACCACAGCCCGTGGTGAACGTGCAGCCAGCTCCAGTCTCATATCCAGTGCCCGCACCACAGCCCGTGTCGCGCCAATACGTGAAGACCATCAAGGTCATTGTCGACGATGCCAACAGCGGCGCCAACCACCTGCCCAGCCCAGTCTACGGACCGCCCGCGGGCGCTGGCAGCGGCTGGAACGGTGGCTGGAGCAACGGTGGTGCCAGCTACAACAATGCTGGCTGGAACAACGGTGGTGCCAGCTACAACAACGGCGGCTGGAAGAGCGGCGGCATCTGGGAGAAATTGGCGTCCGGCTGCTAAGCAGCTCAGCAGCTGCCACACCCTTATCCCCCACGCCCCCACGAGCTTGCTACACTAACTGCCCACGATCTATGTATATCTACTCAACTGTTTAAAATTATTAATCTTTTTTTTTTTAGTTTTAAATACATTATCGAATAAATGTTCTCCCAAATTGCTCGTCTTCTCAACTGTGTGTAAATAGTATAAAACGAGAATAAAAGTCAGCTCATTGTGCAATATCCTCAAAACCAAATAGCCGCAAATTATTTTGACCTTATATGGTTATGTAATCGAGAACTTGAATAGCTGCCGTTGTATTTTAATTTGCTTTTTTTTTCCTTTTTTTTTTTTTTGGGGAATTTTTAGTTTGAGCATTTCTGTTTAGTTTGTTGGGGTTTTGGGCTGGGCTCGAGGTGTTCTACATAAATAGACATATGTAGATGTGTGTGTGTATGTATATGTACATATTAGAAAATTTATCACCTAACTGCTAAATGTAATCAAGCGCGAATGCTAATCAATCGCTGGCACTGACGCGGACTTGGACTTGAGTGGGACTGTTCCACTATGGGAAATATTTGATCATAAATCAGAATTTGTAATATTACGAGATGAATGGAAATGGAATTGACAGTAATCTAATATTGATTAAAATACCTAAACTATTATATAAAGTGGAGAGAAAAGTTACTTAACCACTAGAGTCCTACAATAACTTTATATATACAAATATATTATCTATGATGATCACAGAAATCTATATGAAAGCCTCTATAATGTAGAGTATTTACTACATATAATTACGACATTTTTCTCAAATATCGAAACATTTTTCCTAAAAATGCGAAACGTATCGAAACATAGTATCATATCAAAATAAGTTAATCCAAAGGCTTCAGTAGTCCGTGCCTACTTAATGTCAATTTAGTTTTCATTTTATATAAATTCTAGTCAAAAAAATAAATCAACTTTGTTATATTTTCCATTTGCCTTACGAGACTGAATAAGTTATTTATTAACATACAGTCTATAAAAATAAATTTCATTTTGTTTATTTTGAGTCAATTGCCTTTCCTGAAGTGTTGCCGAAAAGCAGCCAAGTCATGTACATGAGAATGTATGCAAGTATGCCCATCTTCAGTCTCTTATTGGGAATGGGACTCTGATCAATTGTTATCCTCCGCTTGCGAAAACTCTGTTGTGATTGGTTGGTCTCAGATACATCCATATCAGAAGCTTAAATATGATACAGACTGCAAATCTCTTTTTGGGCATGTCTAAGTGGGTCTTAACAGTAAAATCGAAGCGTACTTAATTTTCAATTTAAGTAGGACCTGAAAAACTGAAGTTTTACTTGCTCCTGCGAACTGCTCCTAGTAACCCTCATCAGTTTTAAGGAAAGGTAGAGAGAGCGGAGCGATGATTAATCGCTTCAGCTCACTCATCTGAGTGCGGCATAGACGCTGAGCAAACGAACCACTTCTCCTTGTCTAATTGGTATTTAATATAATGCAAATTAAGAATGAGTGAATTAATAGTAATACAAAAAATAAAAAATAAAAATTGTTGATTGTGCACTAAAGGCCTCTCACATGGACCGCAATCTATGCATTAGCATTACAAAATAAATTTCAATATTTCTCTTTGAAATTCTCTTCAAACTTCTCCCGCATATTTCAAACTATTCCTTCAAACTGGGCAATTATTGTGACTTATTGGCGCAGCTAGTTGTAAATTCTTATCTGCACTTGACACGCTCGTTGATAGCTGATCAAGTTGTCAACGCTGGGACCCCAATAGCCGTTCAGCCAAGACGCGAGACATCCGCTGGCCGCGCATATAAATTACCCAACGCTGTGTGCTGCGGCTGTCAGTTGGCCTAAGACACAATGTGCAAGCGAGGCGTATACTTAATGCAATTGCTGGCGCTAGTGCTGGCGGGTGTCGAGGCATGGCCCCACCAAAAACAACCACACCAGCAGCAGCAGCAACAGCACCACCAGCACCACCAGCTGAGCAGCGATGGACACCGCATGGAAAATGGTAAATATATCTAGGATTATAATTAACTTATGTCTAATATACATATCTCTTCTCCTTCTCAGACTACACTCCGATCATCCACATCAGCTCTGCCGTGCTGCAGCTGGCGCCAGATGAGCAAACGCATTTGCTGCTCCCAGGCAACGGCAACGGCCACAGTGGCTCATCTCATCCAGCCGGGCCCATTGCCAACTGGCCGCACATCTACAGGCTGGAGGATTTGCTGCCTGTGCGCACGCCAGCAGCTGCCGAGCCGCGACTCACAGTCAGCGACAATCTGGACTGGCCGCACTATGTGCCGTCCCATGGACGCTAAGGAGATGCTCCACGGATTACACGACAAACTTGGCTGATTTATTGAAAAAAAAAAAAGTGTCTTTCTTATATATGTATATGTATGTATATGTATATATATCTGTATTGGGAATAAAAAAAAATTTAGCTAGTAGAAACGTTGACTATCATCACAGGGACTTAGTGAGAGTCCAGCTGGTGCTCGAAGAAGTGGTGCTGATGCTCTAGCTCCTGCTGCTGTTGGATGTGCTGCTCCTCCAGCTGATGCTTCAGCTGGTGGTGCTCGTGCTCCTGCCGATCCTTGAACTCGTAGAGCGTACTGTAGCTGAAGGCGCCTTTGCCGTGATCAATGCCGGGCACCGGCTCCTCGGCATGGTGTTCATGGTGTTCATGGTGCTCGTAGTGCTCCAGCTCCGGCTCGTAGTGCGCATGCAGCTCGCTCGCCTCGGCATATTCCACGCCCGCATCGCTGTTGCCATAATCCGCCGGAAAGCTGTGCTCGCTCAGGTGATCGCCCAGTTCGCCCAGCTGCTCGTGATCCGCATGCAGTTCGCTCGCTCCAGATCCCAGATCCAGCTTGGCCAACGCCTCGCCGCCACTGAGGCCGCCCGCATAGTTGCCCAGCAGTCCGGGGGAATGGACACCGGATGCCACATCGCCACCAATGTAGCCCGCCTGACCGCTCAGCGCCTGGGCCAGCAGCAGGATCAGTTTGAAGCGCCAGGTGAACATGTTGACTCTAATGCTGTCTGTGGACTTTTCTCTAGTTGGCTACCGACGCGGCGAAATGGTGCAAGTCGACTATTTTCTTTTCGACAAGAGCTCTGGCATTTATACGCTGGCTTTTGGCACACATTTTCCTGCATTTTCCAGCCACAGCAATAACAACAACAGCAACAACAACGCATTGAGCAGCGCTTTTGTTTGGCTTGGCTTGTCTTGGCTTGGCTTAGCTGGGCCATCCATGTTGCAATGGACATCTGCCGACGACGACGACGACGACGACGAGCACGTTGGAAACGAGGCGGTCGCTTAGCTGCAGCTGATAATTTTCTGCACTTATTGTGCAGATTACGTATACGCCAGCGTGGCCTGCGCGGGCAGCTCACCCAGGCAAGCCAAGCCAGCCGACTGACCATTGAATAGCCGCAATTATAAGAGGCGCCGACACTGCCAGCAACGCCACCACCACCACCACCACCACCGCAGCAGCAGCAGCAATAGCAGCTGTTGCAATGTGCGTATACGTAATGTATGTGCGGTTGGCCCCAGTTCTATGCAGGCGCAAAGGCTTACATAATCACAAACACCGCCATTCATTTGATCGTTGTCTATGCTGATCTTGTCAAAGCGCGCATAGACATCGATGCGGAAGCAACAACAGCAGCAGCGGCAGCAGCAGCGGCAGCGACAGCAGCAGCAGCAATGACAATGGCAAGCAGCACCACGCATCTAACTCTGGGCACCGCCGTGGCACCACCTCGCACTCACACGCCAATTGGCAGCTAATTGAGTTGATCAACAAAACGGAAACGGATGGCTCAGCGCGTAGAATCGTACAAAATGGCAAAAAGAAAAGCAAAGATAACCACCGAGGGTGGCTCGAACAGTACGAGCCGAGCCACATGTGCGACTACTGTTCCTTGCAGTTGAGGCGATTGTGCAACCTGTGCAGCAACAGTGGCCCAGCTCTGGGGTGGCAATTAAGAGCGTTACCAGAGCGACCAAAATGCAGTCACAGATACAGATGCACACACACACACACACACACGCATATATAGACAAAGAGACATGGCAATGCCAACAGTGCGCACTCACTTGCCAAATGTTTCTCAAAGATTGCAGAAGCCACAAAGCCAACAGCAGCAGCGGCAGCAGCAACAACAACAACAGCAGCATGTGTGTATAGCTACATGTTATACATACACAAATACATATATAAACGATGTCTCTTTGTAAACAATCTTTAATGGGGCTGCCAAACAATTTGCCATTGCACTGAAAAATGTGCGAATTTTTTTACGCTGCGAAAATGGCTCAAATATAATTTTTATTATTTTTATTGATTCAGTAAGTTAAGCATTATATAATGCTATAGCTCAGCTCTTATGCACAAGGCAGTTGGCTTATATATATATATAGTTTTTTT